TGCGCATAGTAGACTTAATTGTGACAGATAAAACTAGTGTCGCCAGTAAGCAATAATAATTTAAATTTTACAGTGGTAGTGCCCGCTTTAACATCTTAGCACGAATGGGCCGGCACGCCCGGTGTAATACCACACAGAAGACAGGCGTGAAATGGAAGCAATTCCGTGTTTCGTCTGATGAGTGTGGTGCCGGAGGCCTATTTTAAGTCTCTTTCTGTTTATCACCCTTTTCTTATAAGTAGAGGATGGGAAGGGGAAGTGGATTTGACGGTGGAGGTGATGCATAGGAAGGGGAAATATCCTCTTTATGTGCGTCCTCCTCCGTCGTATTAGGGTAGGCAACGCATCTGCAATTGCGGATGTCTATGGGCAGCGGTCGCTTCGCCATTTTGGCGGATTCAGGTGGCCGCTTGCTCGTTTGCCACCTTATGTTATAAAAAAAAAATAATATAAAAAAATGTTTGCGTCAATATTAATTTTTTGTGTTCTAATTTGTATTGTTGTAAACTGTATTAGTTCTTACGGCCAGATCGTTGTTTTCTTTTGCTTAAATTGCATTTATTTTTATTATTAAAGTCTTATGTTGGATTAGCTTTTAATCTTACGTACTTTAATCTGTCTGGAGAAACAAGACCCGATTACTGGGTTTTTATCTAACGCTGGAGGATTAAGGAGAAGACGGGTGACTGTAGTTATGTGTGTGGCAAAGAATGTTTTAGTGTCTTAAACAGCGATGGCTTGGCGACAGGCTTATGGCTTAAAGTTGCTTTGTTTTTTTTCTATTTTTAATTTTTTTAATCAAGAAATATGTGCAAAGAAAAATAACTAAATATAGGACATATACTAATATAATAAATCGGAATCACACACTAATTTGTGGCTTAAGATGTCAGCAATTACAGTTTATTTTTGAATAATTCATTCTTTAATAAAATCTCTACTTACGTCACACTTTAGGTTATACATTTTCACGCTATTTAACTTAGTGGGTAAATAAATTGGATAAATACCCTAATGAGGAAAAGGGATACGCTACAAGCTACCGACATCAAGGATGTAAGATTGCTATGGTTAGTTTTCAGGTCATGTCATTTTGACATTTGCAATTGATAATTTGACAAATGTAAACAATAAATTAAAATTTTCATAAATTCATTCGGATGAAGTCGCACGGGAATAACTAGTTATTATAGCGGGAGCACTCCTTTGACCAAACTTTCGCACAAATGTTGTGCGATTGTCGATTGTTTCGCAGCTCAACTGTTTAGTTGCATACCAAAAAATCATGTAATGTGCGCACCTCCATATAAGCTCATAGGAATCAAAGCGAGACTAAACAGTCTGCGATAGTTTAGTCAAAAGTGCACACGCCCTAAGTTAAAGAAGTTTGATTTGTTATTTCAATTTTGTTTGTATTAAAATGAAATGGAAACTCATAGCCACAAATAAACATTGTATAAAGATTGTTTATTGAACTTAACGTCGTTTTTCATTACAATTTCGTTTGAAAACAGAAAGCGGAAAACTGGTTAGCATTATTAGTGTTCTTCGACGTTCATTTCGAATCAAACGACCCACTTTATTTATCAATTACACTTCGGAATTTGTTACGTCACCAAATATATACTTGATCTTTGAGTTTTAATAGACAGGATCAATCGCACGCATTTCCCATTTATACTTCTATACTTATAACTAGCTGTTGCTCGCGACTTCGCCCGCGTGAAATAACAAATTTAACCTATTACATTCGCCCTTTTTTCAACCTATTACCAAAAGTACTAACTTAGTAATAATCTACGTAATAACAGAAATCTACCGATCCAAGATTCCAAATTTCTAAACCCGGTAGTACTAATGATAAAGCGTAAACACACACTACTTCGTGGCATAGGATGTCAGCAAGTAGCATATTTTTGGATAAATCTTTCTTTAATAAAAACCCTTACACTTAAGACATGCTTTAGGCTACATATTTTTACGTTATTAAAGTTAGGAGATAGATAAATTAAAAAAAAAAACTTTCATGTGGGAAAGAGACCATAAACTACAAGCTGCCAACATAAAGAAACAAGTTTATTATGGTAACGGTTATTTTGACACTTGCTATTTAGAGTTTGACAAATGTAACCAATAAAATAAAGTTTTTACATTTCCATGAGGATGAAGCCGCACGGGAACAGCTAGTTATCAAATAAGGACAAACAACTAAACGTCCTTACTTGTGTGTATTTTTATTATGAGTTCATAAAGACGTCGCAATTACGTCATGCATGACATGCACATGTGAGATTATGATATTTAGCTCACCTATAAGAGTAAGATAGAAATTAAGAATTGATTTAACATTTTTTGTCTAGTCCTTTTCTTTATAGTCAAAGGTTTCATCAAAGGTAAAATTTTCAAAGAGGTTACCGGTAACAAAATGTAGGCACGAAAATAATTAAATTGCAAAACGAAATTAAAGTGATTCCATTTCGTTTGGAATTTCAATTGTCAAGTTGTAAAATCTTCAATTTGTAGACACAGGTCGGACATTCGCATTTCGAAGATGGCCGCTTTAAATAACTGACAAGCAACGTAAAGCTGAGACGCAATTTTGATTAAAACTCGATGATCTATTGCTACACCCAGAGTCAAATAATAACTAAGGATGTTTGTTATTTTTTAAATTCAGAATAAAATCAACACTAAAGGTCTGCTAAGTGCCCTCAAAACCTATCTGAGACAGCAATATCTTCCAGTCCTTATCTATACTATTACGAGTATAATAAAGCGTAAACACACACTTCTTTGTTGCCTAAGATGTCAGCAATTACAGTATATTTTTGGAAACATTTTTTTAACAAAATCCCTACACTTACGTCACGCTTTAGGCTATATATTTTCACGCCATTAAACTTAGGGGTAAATATTTTTGGATAAAAACCCTAATGTGGGAAAGAGACCATAAGTTGCTGCCAACATCAAGAAAGCAAGAAGCAAGGTTGTCATGTCATTTTGACATTTGCTATTGATAATTTGACAAATGTAAACAATAAAATAAAATTTTCATACTGCCATGCGGATGAAGCCGCATGGGAACAGCTAGTTTTAGGTATAAAATTACTTTCAAGGCATGTCAGCAGTGAATGTGTTAGCTTATGTTGTTGTATTGTAAACTTTGTAAACACAACTGCATCATAACACGTACAACTTGAAGGCTTCTGTGAAACTGTAACTACTCACCAGGCCCGCATTAAGCACACTTCCGCTTCTGCGTGGCTTTTACCAACACTTAATAACTTAACCGGACGGAAATCATATTGTCCTATATACTGTCTGCGACGTTAAATTGTTGCCGGACAGTTGAAAGTTAAAAAGCTTTTCCGTAATAGATTGATGACAGGTTTTCCAACTACATTTAATCATTCGTTAGTGTTGGTTTGCTAACTTTATGAAATGCGTTTCTGAATTACGTAACTTGAGTTTTGCTCTATTGAAATTTAGTTTAACCTAACACTAAAGTATCACTAAGTAATCATACTTTATACTAATGTTATAAATGCGAAAGTTTAGATGGATGGATGTTTGTTAGAGTTTTTAACCTAAATGGCTGAACGAATCTGGATGAAATTTAGCATAGAAGTAGAATATTGTCTTAAAGAACACATAACCTTTTTAATTTTTTTTATAATTCCACGTGGTTGGAGTCGCTGGCAAAAGCTAGCGTTAAAATAAATTATAACTGCAGCAACCAGCGATAGACAAACCAAACATTTCAGCTTAAACATACATTCAACTTTTTGCCATGAGTGACGTCCGGCGCGGATTTTTGAAATAAAAAAGTTAAGAAATCTGTAGAGACGATACATTAACTTATATTGTATCAACTCTTTAGATTTCCTCATCAGTAGGAATCACTAATTGATTACCTCGACAAATTGTTTAAGACAAGTTCGCATTCCCCTCACGCACAAGTCTGTAGCAAATGGTAGGGACTATTTAATTCGTCTAACAAATTACCGACGAATCGCGTTCGAATACGCAAACGTTTAGGGGCTCGAGAAATTCGCAAACATGTAATCTTTGGAATCATACACCAAAACGGTGTTCGATTGTCATTTGTCTGTTATAAGAAAGTTTAGATGGATGTTTGTTAGAGCGCACGTATACCTTTGACTAAACTATCGGACCTTCAACTAACTATTTAGTCGTTTAAGCTTTGATTCCCATGAGCTTATATGGAGGTGCTCCCGCCCTTAACTGCTAAACGGATCTCTATGAAATTTGTCATATAAAGCAAAGTATTGAAGAACACATAGGCTACTTACTTGTTTTTATTGGTTTTATGATAAAACGTGGGTGGCTCAGGGGTTACTTATATACAGGTCCTGGGTTCGATTCTTGCCATATCCCTGGAATATAGAGCCTATGCTAGCACGTATGGAGGTCTAATTTGAACAGTTAAACTCTTAAAATTGTAGTTATGCAGCGGATGTTAGAAACTCCAATTAAAATGCACTGTGACTTTAATTTCCACATCACTGTATTGATGGCTGCCGATATATCTACATCACGGATGTATGGAAGAGATTTATCACCTCCCACAACCATTTATCTTGTCTATTGATTGCCACCTGGTGTCATGTGACAATGCGGCGATGGAATGCGCATACTCTGTCAGTTCATTGTTGTAGTTTTACACGAGGACAGAATAAGACATTGCAGTACTGCTATTGAACGAATACTACATAGATACTATAATGAGCCTATATAGACACGAAATTTCGTCCCAAAATGTTCGTAATGTCATCGGCAAAATTTAAAATAAAACCCAAAAGGTTAGGATACTCTTCTCGGAAATTTTCGTGCTAGGTCCTCAGATTTTGGAAGTTAACATTTTACTAGACATTTAAAGGGGTCGAATAGAACAAGGTTTCACTGTGAAGTTGCTTACCTCATTTGTTTTTAATAGATTTTTAAATTATATTAAATTAATGCAAATTATTTTTTCACAGGCAAAGGATTGTTCGCGTCTATTTAAATAACTGGGTAAGTTATCTTTTATACATAGTCTATAATTTGTACTCGTCGATTATATTTTTATATGACAATTATGCGTTAGGAGAATCTGTGTCGCTACAAAGGGAGAGGAAGACAGAAGAATGTATGTATGTATTGTGTGAAAGTTAGGGCGGATCCAGCTTTGGCGCCAGGGGGGGTTCACAATACGTTGTCAAGTCAAGAGCTTGACCAAATATGTAAATATATTTTGTCAAGTTTTTGACCAACCAGCTTATGGGGTGTCATGACCCCCATGACCCCATCGATTCGCCATTGTGTGAAAGTGGATATTGCTTAAGGGAATGGATTCAGGTAATACGGCTGATAGAGATGTATGGAAGTGTAGTTAAAAGCAGGGATTATTTACATAATTTCAAATATGTTATATTTATTTGTCTATATTAGGCTTATCAACATGATTTTACATTGATTTCTTTCTTGCTTTAGTAATCCAGACACAAGACATCATGTAACTACAATAGATAAACACTTTTTGTTTTAATTATATACAATGGGCGTACGGTTGAACGAATGGGCCGGCTCGCCCG